TTAATAAATTTTAATTTTTTTTATTAATTGTATATTTATAAATTTAAGTAAATACAATGGACAACAATGGACACTGAAATTATATGTCTATTGCTTAATCAATGAACAATGGACAGCATTTTTTGTCCAGTGTTGTCCATTGTCCATTGTCCAATCATGACAATACTGCTTTAATACGCTAGAGTCTTTCGAAATTGAAAGGTTAAAAGAGAATATCTCCTATGATGCAGATCTGAGATATCACCACAAATGAAAGGCCAGCTGCAAACTCCTTATTACCAAGATTTATTACAGTTTTTTGTAGTGTAAATCCCTAGCTTTTATGTACAGTAATGGTCTATGCAAGATGAATAGGAACTTGTAAGTGTGAACATAATGTTCTGGATTTGCTCTCCCAAGTACATCAAATGGATGCAATTGGAACAACTTTTGTACTTTCTAAGGTAGTAATAGTGGGGCCTTTATAATTTTCAAATGAAATGAGAACTGCTATAGGAAGAAAAGGTAATCCTTGATTCTCTCTAAACAAAATATCCTAGACGATTTCTAGTGCATCATTGACCAAGCCAGCTTCTATTCACAAATTTGATGTCAACATAATACATGTGTCTCTTGCTAGCAGCAATTGTGCTTCAAGATCATATGTAATATCAGAATCTGCTTTTTTGGCTTCATTGTCACCTATATGTATGGCAAGAATCCTGACAACAGGAATGTTTAAGACCTGAGTCGGTCTATATTCATTGCATCAACATTGATCCATTTTGTTAGGATGAACGTAGCATTAGAAAATTTACTATATTCTGTTTTATTTAATCTCCCTTTGAATCGTGTGGTAAGAGTCTTCCAGTCAGCTAAAGTAGACTCTCCATCGCGCAATCTTAAGAGAAGAGATCTAAAATACTGTTGCTCTTGAGAATTTTCAGATTAGCGTTAAACAATATCAAGCTTATACACTTTCTTAAATAGGATATATGCGGCAAGATTATTGTTAGAAAGTAGATCTTATAAAACTTTTGTGTATATCGGAAGATCAAATACAGGTGGAAGCTGGCCAAAATCTCCAAATATAATAATTGACCTCCTACCAAAGGGTTCATTATTATTTTCAGAAAAAGTCTGCCGAAGTTGCATATCAATAAGACCAAGCATTTGGCGGCTAACCATACTTTTCTCATCTATTATAATATATCTTACACTTTCCAATCTATTCTGTAGCAACTTCAGCTGTTCCCCTTTTATGTCAAGATTACTATCACTAATTATTAGGATAGAAAGCGTCAAATGAATCATCATCCCACTTATGTTAAAGGCTGCAATGCTGTTGGCGTAATCACTAATACAGGTGATTTAGAATTGACTACTGCTATCTCACGAAGTCGATCTCAGATTCCTTTAATAAGATATGTCTTACCAGTTCCTGCAGTTCCCATCATAATTATTCTCAATGGTTCAACTCGATGATCTATAAGAATATTCTTGTAGTGAAACTCTATTTGTTCAAAGACTATCCTTTATTTTTCATTTAACGTTTGATAATCCACAATTTCTTTATCTTCTTTTTCAGCATTACTTTATCCATTACCAGAAGCTTTATCCACAAAGGTATCGGCATCCATAAGGTCAGCATTAGAGTATCATTACCTTGCATCATTGATCCAATCATGATTCTTATCTACATCACGAGATTCTAGATCAGAGGAACAATCGATGACTAAGTTTGGGCCTATCTCAGCCAGAAACATCCAATCAAGCCTAAATTCATTTTATTCATTATCTTCGAGCTGCTCATCATTCTCTTCATTAATAATTTCGTCTTCTTTATTATCTTTAGGAGGCCTAAGTAGATCAATTGGATCAGCATTGATCTCTTTAAGATAATGATTATATAGAGTTGACCATACAACAGTTTCGTTTTTAGTTAATTGTTAAAGATATTGATGACAAATATGAAGAAGAACCTTCACCCAACAGAACTCTTTCTATAGGAGACCTTCATGCAAGGATGACGGACGTGGATAGATTCGTATAATATTTTCTACTTGGCATATTTTCTAATGACCTTTAACAAACTTATGTGTTAAATTCAGTCGATATAATGTAAAATCTTCGAATTCAGCAGGTCGACTCCAATATCTTTCCAAAGGTGATAATTCTGTCCATCCAGAATCACTTGTAAGAGACTTTCCTCTAGTACCACGGATCCACTTTGGTACTTTTTTATTAAGATCAAAGAAATAAATGATCTGCTTGAATGATATAGTAGAATTCCAAGAAGATGACAAGTCTCTTAAGCGGAGATATCACACTCTACAACACTGTGGAGTAGTAGCTTCTGAACTGAAGCAAGAATTGGATCATCAGGTTGGCTGTTATTTAGGATTTGATTCAATATTTCTGAAAAAGCAGTAGACTGTGGTTCCGCTTTGCTTACGTACTTTGAAATGTACTGCAAAGCTACGTGAATACTTAAGATCAGCTTTAAGTCAATGTTTGCTCGCCAACCCTGCAATTAAAACCTACTATATAGATTGATCAATGGATCATTCCTTTTTGTTACAAGCTCAAGTTGACCATAACCATTATCACGTACAAGAGTATGTTCAATATTTTCCTTAGAATATCTGAATCTGCAAGACTGTTGACTATTTTGATTAATATGAAGGCAATATGAAGGACTGCACTGTGTGTATCGTTGCAGTTTATTGATCAGTTCAACATAATCTTGCTGATCATTGCATATTTCTTCTTTGCACTTTTTACACGGATGCTGATCAGTTACAGGAGCATTGAGTCTTAGATTTATGGTGGTAACTTGAGAATCAAGGTATCCTACTACTTTATTCATAAAATTTTCATCTTCCTTCATTCGTTTCCAATCTATTACAGATGCGTTTTACTTTTTTGCAATATTATGAACATGGGATACTACCATGATGCTGCCATTCAAACTGGTACTACCAATCCTCCAAATTCCATTGTTGCTTCAAAACATACTTAAAAAATAATTCAAAACACTTATGAAAAAACCAAGTTGCGATATGAGGATTATTGATGATGTTTTGGTGATTTGACTCAGCTTCTTCTGTGAAATTAAGTAGCATAACTTCATGCAGCTCAGATCAGTGCAAATTAGCAGTACTGAATATAAAGAATACTAGCTCTTGTAAACCTATCTGTTTAATTATATCTAACAGTTCCTAACGTTTTGTATTCTAAAACTATCAGGATCTATGCAAATCCTCACCAAATCTCATAATTCTATCAGCCATATGATTGTCACCTTGAGCAATCTTCTCCTGAATATCCATAACAGTGATTTGAGAATTGGTAAGGTTTTGCTTAATATATACCTTTCCTTCTTATAGGGCTCTTTACTGCATTTAGAAATTCAACGTGAAATACCGCTAACGTGAATGATGCACAAATATTCTATCTTTATATATTTAAAGTATTCGGCCAGTTTTACATCTCTAATATGTACTGCATGAAGAACTGCACATCCAGTTGAGTATAGAGCTGGGAATGCATATGTAATATACCCAGATATCTGAAATTTATTGACTGGATAACTATCAATTTGTGGCTATTCTATTAGAAATTCTTTATTCTGTATATGATCAAGAGTATTTTTAATGGAGACATCTTTGCGACAGATTGGAGGAGGAGTTGAAACAAAGATGTGTATAATCACATTATTCTCATCTTCATCTAAATCTTCAGTATTTACTTGAATATTCTGAAGTTTATTATCAATAGATCCATCTACTGGTAAGAACTGAAGTACTTCATTATCAATAATAATATCATCATAATAATGATTATTTTCTTTCAACTAGCATAAAGCACGAGCAACCTTAGCATAACAAACTTTAAAGTTCTTAAATGCTACAGAATTATTTTCAGACTGGCGACGTACAAGAAGAACATCCAATAATGATGGATGTCAAGGAAGATGAGTGGCAAATTCTTGTACGTCTTAGGGAAAGTTAATTATCTTTTCACAATACTCGTGTTGTTCTCTATGGAGTCTATAGACTGATATAACCAGGAAAATCTGCGCAATCAACATTTCTTCGATCTCTATAAGATTTTGAAATTCTTTCAGCACTTCACCTAGATCTATATTATTCTCTGCTGAAAACTTTTTTAGAGATTTATTTTCAGCATAACAACGTCAGCATTCTCCCATTACAAGTGTTATAGATAAGAAGCTTTTATTGCATATAGGACAAAGAGTATGTTTGATCTCATCAACTTTAATGCGAAATTTCTGAAGAAGGTCTCTTTCAGATTTACTGAGCTCAGATGGGTTTCATCACTCTGACCTTAATTATTATCTTTCTGTAATTCTATAACTCAGTTCTTTAGTAGTTCTATGACTTGATCCTCTTGTGACCTCCTGGCTTGCTTCTTAGCTCTGATATGCTTCGGCCCTATAGCTTGACCCTGCTGTGGCTCTGTGGCTAAATATTGCTGTGGCTGCTTTGCACTTCTTAGTTTACGAAGATATTTTAACCATTTTTCACATTATTCCTCAGTTTCATTTGCTGATTTTAGGTTTTTTTTTCACGGTCATATGCACGATGCGCATCTCATTCTTCATTAGTTTTTGCTGCTCTGCTTTAACATTTCTTCTCACGATCTGTAGTAAGATGCGTCTCACAACGATCAAGTGTTTCATTTTTTCTGTACTTATGCTTTCGGATAGTGTCAGAATTAACAAATTTACTACTTATTTTATTGATTAATAAACATATTCTAAAGAATTCTTTGTAAAAAGTTTTGCACTCTCATTTTTGTGGCTTGTATACAGCTTAATTTTTGCTAATTATACATGAGCAGGGTTGGGAAATTAATACAATTAGTACAGCTTAGTACAGTTTAGTACAATTAGTACACATAATAATTAATATAAAATTTAGTATAGTACAGTACAAGTACAAGGTCAAAATTTGTCTAGTACATACAAAATTCCCAACCCTGCACATGAGCATTATTACAATATCTGTATATGTCGATTGTATTACATATATACATGCATTGTTACAATTTTATTATTAATATTATACTTTTATTAAAGTTTTTACAATTTTATTAAATGTCATAATTTTTATATTTTATTACAATTATAAAAAAATAATACTTAAATAAGAATTAGTATAACTATTTATTAAATTTGCTCATATCAGAAAAATTAAAATTTTTATTTAATAAACTTTAACAAATAGTAAGAAATTTGCTAATTTTGCTCTGGATTCACAACAGTTTCCGTTACCTAGTAATCATTAATTCTTGTATATTATACTTCTTTATCCAATTCCTTTTCAATTACTTTGCTAATTCCTGTAATAAAGTACTTCAATCAAAATATTTTTTAAGAACTTTATTAATAAATTTAATATATTGTGTTGATTTTACAATTGCTGTAAATACTTTTACAATAGAATATCTTGTTCAAGACTCATAATTAAAATAAAGTTTTTTAAGATAAAAGCGATATGATTTATATTTTAAATGTATATTATTATATCTTGATTCAAATTGATTTTTACTATAGCTATTTTACATATGATAAAAATCTTTAATAAAACTTTTGACTATATCGCCTTGTAATTTAAATTTAACTTTCTTCTTTATATTTTCAAAAATATGATAGTTACATAATATATAATATGTTTATAGATACAGTCAGACCTCTCTAAATGCACCCTCTATAAATGCATACCCTCTTTAAATGCACATAATATTCTGGTTTCAAGCTTAGGACTTAGAGGCTAAATGCACCCTCCAAGTTCTGCACGTGCAAGAAATTTTTCTGTCCTTTGATATGACAATTCAATCTCTAAATGCACGTCATATGACTATTTTATAAAATAATAGGACCGTTAAAAATTTGATGTTTTTTTTATTCATTAATTTAGTACACATGCAGCTT